AAAAAAAAAAAAAAAAAAAAATCCAACTAAAAAATGGGCAAATGATCTGAACAGACATTTCTCAAAAGAAGATATACAAATGACCAACAAATACAATTTTAAAATGCTCAACATAAAAAGCATCAGGGAAATGTAAATCAAAAGCATAATGAGGTATCCTCTTACCCCAGTTAGGACAGCTATTATCAAAAAGACAAAAAATAACAAATGCTGGCAAGGAGGCAAAGAAAAGGGAACTCTTATACATTGTTGTTGTGAATGTAAAGTATAGCCACTATGAAGAACAGTATGGCGGTTCCTCAGAAAACTACAAATAGAAGGAGCATATGATCCAGCAATGACACTCATGGGTATATACCCAAAGGAATTCATATCAGTGTGTTTAAGATAGGTCTGCACTCCCATGTTTATTGCAGCACTATTCACAATAGCCAAGATATGGAATCAACCTGGGTATCTAACAACAGATGAATGGATAAAGAAAATGTGGTACATACACACAATGGAATACTACTAAGCCACAAAAAAGAATGAAATCCTGTCATTTGTGGCAGCATGGATAGAACCAGAGGACATGTTAAGTGAAATACTGCATGTTCTCATTCATATGTAGAAGCTAAAAAATGCTAGTTGCTCTCTTTTTCTTTCTTTCTTCCTTTCTTTTTTTTTTTTTTCTCGGAGACAGGGTCTGGCTCTGTCGCTCAGGCTGGAATGTAGTGGTGCAATGTCAGCTCACTTGAGCCTCCTAGGTTCAAGCCATCCTCCTACCTCAGCCTCCCAAGTAGCTGAGACTACAGGCATATGCCACCATGCACCATACAGCTAATTTTTGTATTTTTTGTAGAGACAGGGTTTCACCATCTCACCTAGGCTGGTCTCAAACTCCTGAGCTCAAGTAGTCAGCCTGCTGCAGCCTCCCAAAGTGCTAGGATTATGAGCATGAGCCATAGCATTCGCCAGCTAATCTCATAAATGTAAAAAGTAGAACAGAGGATACTAGAGGCTGGGAAGGGTAGAGAGAAGGAAGAGATAGGCTGAAATTTGTTAAAATATACAAAATTACAGCCAGATAGGAGGAATAAGTTCTAGTGTTCTATATTACTGTAGGGTAACTATAGTTAACAATAACATACGGTTTCAAATAGGACAACTATACTGAATGTTCCCAACACAAAGAAATGATAAATGTTTGAGATGATGGATATGCTAATTACCCTGATCTCATCACTATACATTATATGTACACAAACATCACTATGTACCCCATGGATATGTACAACTATTATGTGTCAACTAAAAAAAATTTTTTTTAATTCGAAAGAATGAAAAGAAAAAGAAATCTTATTTTAATTCCATTAAACCACATAGCTTAAGAAATTAACTTTTAGAAAATGCAATATACGTTGTTACGTTGTTGCAATTATGTTTTTTGTTTTTCTGTTTGTTTGTTTGTTTGAGACGGAGTCTTGCTCTGTAGCCCAGGCTGGAGTGCAGTGGTGTCATCCTGGCTCACTGCAACCTCAGCCTCCCGGGTTCAAGCAATTCTTGTGCCACAGCCTCCCAAGTGGCTGGGACTACAGGTACGGGCCACCACATCTAGCTAATTTTTGTATTTTTAGTAGAGACAGGGTTTCACCATGTTGGCCAGGCTGGTCTGAAACTCCTGAGCTCAGGTGATCTGCCCACCTCGGCTTCCCAAAGTGTGAGGATTACAGGCATGAGCCACCATGCCCAGCCATTGTATTTTCTTTAAAAACTGTTTCTTTATATTGTATAACACTTAAACAGCAACGATTTGACCTTCGCTATGACATTCTACTTCCGCATCTCAATTTCTTCAGCTCTAAAATAATGAGTATGGATTACTTCCAGTTCTAAAATCCCACCTCTCTGACAAGTAAAAAAAACATAAATATTCTTCTTCAGTAAAATGAGTACTGGTCATGTCATAGTTAATTTTATAAAGAATATGGTTTCTGGGACTGGACCGCTGAGGTTTTAGTTTCTATTCTGCAATTTATTAACTGTGAAATATCAGGTATGGTACTCAAGCCTATCAGAATTTCAGTATCAATTGCCCAGTCATGGTGATGCACACCTGTAATCCCAACTACTCAGGAGGCTGAGGTGGGAGGAATGCTTGAGCCCAGAAGTTCCAGGTGGGAGGAGCTGTGATTGCGCCACTGCACTCCAACCCGGGCAACAGAACGAGACTCTGTCTCAAAAAATAAAAAATAAAAATAAAAAAATTTTTAATGAAAGAAAAAAATAAAAAACAAAATTTCAGGTTGCCCATCAGTAAGTGGTGTAAATTACAGTACATATCTTAAGTGGTTACTATGATTAAACAGAAAAAAAGTATGTGTGGTAGAAACTGGCTGTTTACTAAACCATTTCTTTTTCTTTCTGGGCAAACAGCTAAACCACATTTTACATCTTCACTTGCAGTTAGTTGTGGCCACGTGACCGAGCCCTGGTCAGTGGAATGTGAGAGGAGGAGATGCCAAATACTTCTAGTCTTAGCTTCCCAAAATCTCCCTTGTGAGTCTCCTTGTTCTCTCCCCTTCCGTGAAAACCCTGGAAACGCCTTGTTAAAGATGGTGGAAGTACAAAAATGGAAGAAACATTGGTGCCTCAATTACAGCTTGTAGGAGAGCTGTATGCCTATTAGGAACACCATTAATATCATTAGTCTTAATATGACAAACGAAAAGTCTAAAAAACTTTGAACTTTAAATGCAAGTAATAAAATGGTGATCCTGTCTACAGTATACATGATTTGGCAACATATATAACTTTTTTTTTTAATAGACAGGATCTCGTTCTGTCACCCAGGATGGAGGACAGTGGTGCAATCACAGCTCACGGTAACCTTAAATTCCTGGGCTCAAGCAATCCTCCCACCTCAGCTTCCTGAGTAGCTGGGACTACAGGAATGCCCAACTACGTCTGGCTAATTTTTTTTTAAATTTTTTGTAGAGATGGGGTCTTGCTGTGGTGCCCAGGTTGGTCTCAAACTCCTGGCCTCCAGCAATCCTCCTGCCTTGGCCTCCCAAAGTGCTGGGACTACAGGCGTCAGCCACTGCACTTGGCCTTTTTTTTTTTTTTTTCCTTAAGCTAGAGAAAGTCTAGGAAGTAAAATTGTGTGTGGAACAGAAAAAATCTGAGCTATTCATATGTGTAACTTGGAGAAGGTATATTGTATTTACATTTATTACATTTTTTAAAAAATTTTCAGACAAGATATATAAGGAAGATCAAATTAAAAAATTCAAATTGGTGTCATCTTGGGGAAAAAAGGTTGGACAAAGCCTTGAAATAAAAAGAAACAATATGAAGCCCTTAGTAAAGAAACACTATTATAACTATCATAAGCCCCTGTGTGTTAAAAATAAAATAGCAACTAACTCTGAGAGCTTAGTATGTGCTAGGCATTGAATGAGATAATCCATGTAAAACACCCTCACTACAACTCAAGATAAAGATAGTATTACTCCCAATTTATAGACAAGAAACTGAAATACAAACTGAGAGATTCTGATTTCAACCCAGAGTCTATGAGTCTATGTTCCCTTTTTTTTTTTTTTTGAGATGGAGTTTCGCTCTGTTGTCCAGGCTGCAGTGCAGTGGCGTGATCTCGGTTCACTGCAACATCTGCCTGTCAGGTTCAAACAATTCTCGTGCTACAGCCTCCTGAGACTACACCACCCAGCTACGGTTTTTTTTTTTTTTTTTTTGAGACGGAGTCTTGATCTGTCACCAGGTTGGAGTGCAGTGGCGCAATCTTGGCTCACTGCAACCTCCCACCTCCTGGTTCAAGTGATTCTCTTGCCTCAGCCTCTCAAATAGCTGGGATTACAGGTGCATGCCACTATGCCTGGCTAATTTTTGTATTTTTAGTAGAGACAGGGTTTCACCATGTTAGTCAGGCTGGACTCGAACTCCTGATCTTGTGATCCGCCCGCCAAAGTTCTAGGATTACAGGCGTGAGCCACCATGCCTGGCTGAGACTAAGTTTTTGTATATTTGGTAGAGACAGGGTTTTGCCATGTTAGACAGGCTGGTCTTGAACTCCTGACCTCAGGTGCTCCGCCCACCTCGGCTTCCCAAAGTGCCGGGATTACAGGCGTGAGCCACCACACCCAGCCGAGTCCATGCTCTTAAATCAAATGCGTCCCCACACAAATTTGGAAGTTTCCCAATTTGTAAAAGAAGGCTCTTTATATGTAAAATCCTGTACATGAGATTCACTCTAGTTTCTAAAACACAAAAAAAGTTATACTTTATTTCATTATTATATATTATGTATATTATGACTTACCAGTCTATCAAGTATATATCTGGTGTAAGACTATAAGATTTGAAGTGAAGAAATAATTTGGAGAGATTTTCTTCAAAGAATACTTCAAATGTTGCAAAATATTTCAACATCTAAAGATTAAAAAATCAATAAAATTATGAAAGTATATAGTCTAGAAATAAGGAAATTAAATGCTTAAACATTAACAGGAAATCTTGCTCATTAAGAATCTCATCTTTTTCTGAGTCTTCTCAGCAAACATTCATTCATAAACTATAATATAATAAGTTTACAATAGATGAGATTATCTTGGTCTTTCAATTACTGTTTTTCACTCTAAGAGGGCATTAAAACTACAGAAACAAAGGAAAACATGATCCATTCATACCATGCTGTGATCCACACGGAAAAAGGCCAACTGGCATGGCTTATTCAGGAGATTGGCAAATGCAATAAAGGCATCTGCCTCTTCCAAATTGAGAATGAGCACAGCTGCAATGAAGGACATCCCTTGGACCTTCAAAGGGAGAAGAAATTAGTCAAAATGGACTTACAATAATAAATCTATACAGTTTATTTTATTGTACTCCTGAAAAACTATAGTGACATTACAATGTTGAATTAACCAAGATTTCTTTTTTCCTTCCCAGCAAAGGTAAATACAGAAAGCCCCTAAAGATTATGAAATCTCCCTAATTTCTTGTTCATATGGTGTGGTTTTTCAACATTAGGAAGAATTTTTGAAAAAAGAAAAAAGTTCAGATTTTACTGCTACAAAAGGCTGTCTCAGTGTATTACCTAGTTTTCATTTCCTCTCAGTCTGAATTCTTTCAAAATAGAGTACAGAATCACAAAATTTAATAAAAATCAGGTGATTATTTTCATTGTTATAACACATCTGAGTAAAAAATGAAGAATTCAAAATAAAAGAGATCTATGAGAGTGCTGCTGAAATACCAAGAAAGGAGACGTTGTGGGGGTTGAGATAATGAGCCTGGAGTCCTGGAAAAGCAAGAGACAGAAATAGCAAAAAACCTAAAATGGAAAAGAAGCATGAACTAAGACACAGAAATGGGAACAATAGGACCAGCTCAGCTGGAATAAGGAAAGGCATTTAGAGAAGGTAGGATGTGTTTATGTTGTGAAAAACCTCGAGTAAAAGGCTAAGCTGTATAGATGTTTGCTTCTTGCTTGTGAGTTATTGGCAGCTATCATACACTTCTCCTTTTTTTTTGGTTTATTTTTTCTGAAGCAGGGTCTCACTCAGTCACCTAGGCTGGAATGCAGTGGCATGATATCATCTCACTGCAACCTCTGCCTCCCAGCTCAAGCTATCCTCCTGCCTCAGTCTCCTGAGTAGCTGAGACTATGGGTGTTTACCACCACGCCCACCCAGCCCATACATTTCTTTAATTAAAAAAAAAAAGTTATCAAACACACACTTCTGGAAGAGATTTGTATAATGGACTTACACAGTGAGACCATTAAGAATAACTGCAATGGGCTGGGCGCAGTGGCTCACGC